GCATGATATAAGCAAATAATCGTCAAAATAAATGTTATGTTATAAAAAGAAGAAGTAAAGCTTTTTAATATGTTGTGGGAACCAAACATTGCAGAAAATGCTAGTCCCTAGTAGCTCATATATCATAAACATATATCTTCTATATTTTTTTATTATTGTCTTGTATATCAATTCACTTAGTTCAGATATGCGAGGCCTACTGGCTCTACCAACAATCGATAAGAGGTCTCTCCTCGATATAGAAAATAGAGGAGAGATTAGGCCGCGGATGAAGCGTTTGACTGATGGCCTATTTAGGGAGTTAAATCCGCCGCCTCTGCCACAAAAACGTCTTCGGGGAAACACTAAAGAGTATACTCGAGGGATTTGGGATTACGTCCCCGCAAACGGGCTTTTGCGACGCACATTTTGAAGGTACTTAATAAATTCGCGTGCCTATTTTCGGTATAATAGCGTGTTCTAAATAAAGTTTTCGCCGTTTTAATACATACATATATGCATTCAAGCATGAACCTATAATTGCTTTCAATGTACTTTTCAAATATTTGAGTTTTATTAGTCAAAATTAACTAGGCACAACCCGAAAATATTTATTTTTTTTTTGAAAATAATTTAATAGCATCTTTAAAAGGTTGTAATAAACGTGTGTTACGCTCAACTAAAGTAAAAACGCAACACCAGCCATCCAAAACTTCAATTAATATAATAATCCTACATAACAAAAATATTAAAACATCTTTATACAAATACTATTTCTAAATTTTTCATAAAGAGATCCTAAATCTGTCGCACTATTCTGCCAAGATAACTTACTTAATAGAGTTATTACCTTACCACCTCAACTAAATAAATGTAAATATTTACAAATTTTTTACTAATTGAACAAAAGAGTTTAACGCATTAAACTCTATGGCTCTTCTCGTCTTATACAAATATTTATGCTTTTAACAAATAAATAAAATTCTATGATCTTATAATATCTTAATAGAAGCTTTCCCATTCAATGATTCATACTGGCTCCAAATTTTGGACTAATTGGCTTAGAGTTTAAAACAAAATTTAAAAGCCCTGTCCTGAGTTACTTTAAATAATCTACAATTAATTCATAATAAATAAAATTCGATATATCCTATCCTAAAAATACGTATTTCTGAGATACAATTTTCCCACAAAAAAACTCTTGCTTTGATAAATTACAAGGATTTTGTTTTAATTCCAGAGGAACAAGTGCACTATTCGCCTATGCACGCAAATTGTTTTAAACGGGCCTAAGGGACTTTTAATTAAACATCACTTTCCCCCTGCGGCATATTTTGCCTGAGCAAGTATACAGTGGCGGAGGATGCTCGAAGAATTCAAACAAATTTTATTCCATAGGCTTAGCTCCATCTTTTATTACAGATTAATAAATAGTGCTCTTATTTCGCAATAAATCTTTTTTAAAGACAAAAATTAATTTTTGAGGGGAAATACTCAACAAGCAGTTTGTAAAAAAAATGAATCCGCCTGAACAATATAGAACTTATCTATAAGTAAGTCTGAGTACACAAAATTAATAAAGAAATGAAATAATATTTACTACATGCTAACATGGCTGAAGAGCTTATTTAAAAAGTATAATTTACTTTATTATCATGTTCTTTACTTACAATTTTTCTACTTCTTAATATAAAGTCGATATATTGATAACTGCTGGCGAATGCAATGTTTAACATGAATAGAAGCACTTACTCACGCTTAAATATTCCTAAAATGACTACTTTTTTCGGAGTTCTGGAGAAAAGCTAAAAGCTATAAGTCTTCAAAGTTTGCCAATAAAGTTTGAAGCTTTAGAGTATCTGATGAAACTGTTGTAGTGGTGCAAAACATCTATAACTGAACAGATCATATATTTTTACATAAAAAGTAAATCTTTTATATCATCAAAATTATTAAGCAGCATGTTTTGCTGGCCCTTCGAAAATTACACATATTTACATATTGAATTTGTTCAATTTTTGGTCAACTAGTGAACTTATTCGAATGAATTTGGTTAATTGATAATGGAAGTAAACATCAGTACTTCATTCAGTAAAATTTTCTCATAAAACTTTGCGACTGTATTGATAGTTCCATCTATCTTCTAAATGATTGTGATTCATCGTTCTTCATTTTGATACTTCCAAGTCCGGTACAGTAGGGTTGAGTCGTTGTCTTGATTGTCGTAAACTTTTATACCCAACTTGTTTAACACCTTTATTTTGAACTCAAAATTTGCTTACCTGGGACATTTTTGTACCAAAAAAAAACAAGCTATACGACACTGATCGAGTCGGAAAACAGGGATGTCGATGCAGGCAATAAGGCCACCCCAGGAGCAGACAAGCTGTGCCTTTCCGTGAGCAGCTGCTACCCCAAATCCACCCCATTCTATAAGAATGCCGGGAATTGAAAATTATTCACTGCTTCTGATGCGTAATTGAAATACCTCTTGTCTGTTTGCTTATTGTACTTTTGATTTATTTTCGTTCGTTGCACTGGCGACCAATGCTAAAACTACGCAAAATTTTTCTTCTAGGGGGCATTTTGTTTTAATTTAAAGAACAGGTGCCATCCTGGTTGGCTTAGTTGAAAAATCAATAATAAAATGCTTTGTTTGTATTTTTTATTGTTAATAATTAATTTGCAAATTATTCAACACATTCTTCAGACTTGTGAGTGTTGTATTTTCCTGTGACTTGATATTACTTGCAGTTCCATACTGTCCTTAGCGGATAGTAAGAAGCAAACTGACTTATTTCTTCGTATTACTTATTCATGTATGCATTGTTTGAGACTCAGCCTCACCTACTCTTCTGTACTCTATAGATAAAAGTTTGTTGTTTTGTCATTTAGATAGATTTACCAAGTAGAATTTTCAGAATATTTGATATACCTACAGAATGTCCAAGTTTTTATGATCATGGTTGCCATATGGTCCTTTTTGATATTCAAGGTGTTCAAAATTAATATGAAAACTGTTCTAATTTGTTTATATCCGAAAAATGTCTTTCAATTCCTTTTTCAGCAAATTACCGAACACCGCGTTTACTGGTTTTAAGATACGAAATCAGCGAAATAGTCAAAATATGCAAATTAAAATTTGCGAAAAATATATTATGTATATTTCGTGCTTGGGATCTTCCAAAAGGCCCAATTTGCATTCTTCTAACCGCAATTTGTTGTGGAAGTTGGTTCGACTTTCTGATATATTTTCAGTTTTTCGATGAGAACATTCATATAGAAGTTTATTGATAGTTTTCATCCGTTGTGTCTCTTAAATTTTTAATCTTATCGGAAACGTGATATATTTTTAGATGTTTTCTGCCCATAATTAGAAAGTTTGCAGCCTCTACCTCAATGTTGAATGCTAATAATTTCAATTCAAGTACGGTGCTCTATAAATCAACACATAACATACCGAGTGATTTATTGAGGATTGTCAGCCAAACCTTATACGCAAGTTGACATGAAAGTTCAGATAGAATATATCCAGGGGAAAGTCATAGAAAAGTCTGTAATTGAAAACTTTTATGCGATTATCAGCAAGCTTGGGATACTTTGAACTGCTTTTGGTCTGAAGCTCTTGACGTACTTACCGACGTTCATAAAAGTGAGAGTGCGGGTGAAATCTTGTTTTAAACATCACTTAATGCACTTATAAGATTTTTTCTTTATTTTATATTGGATATTTCATTCACTCAGTATAATTTCGGTATAATTGTCATATCGTGATCTGTAAAAATCGAAAGTAATAAAAAAATCGAGTTCGATATTTTATGAAGATGAAGTAAA